TTGGGGCCGACAGGGTGCACCAAACTCAAGATAATTCTTCTCCCCTGTCTCATAGCTGACAAAGTGAGAAAGAGCCTGTGGCCTAGAGGTTAATACATCTACCTAACATGCAGACAGCCCAGGTTCGAATCTCAGAAGGGTATGTCTGGTTGAAAAGAACTAAAAAGTTCGAAATGGCTATTCCAGTTCTCCCTTAATTCTTTGTTAGCAATTCAAATTTTGAAAAACACACACACACACACACATATATATATTAAAAAAGATTCCAACTCTCATGTAACTCCACATTTCCATAGGTGCTATTCCCTTCTGATTCTCCCACATTTCCTTAGATTATGGTGTTTTTTTTTCTTATCTAATTGGAGCCAGATTGGGAGTGATGCCCCTGTGCTCTGTGAAAGGCAAAATGAAGCCTATTGCCTCTCCTTTTAGCTTAACACACCTGATTAGTTGCTCAGAATTTAAGTATATCAGGCTGATGTGCTATAAATCTTTATTTGTTTGATATAGTAAGTCAGGATCTGTCATTTGACTAAGATTGTTTTCTTGAATCAAAATTAGTTTTTAAAATGATTAGATTTGTTTTATTGTTCTACGTCATCAGTTTTTAATGTTCCTTTTCTATTGGAGTGTGACATTTTGGCTAAAGCACAAATGCTGATGGCTATGATTGAGATGTGTCAGAAAATGCATCTGATTTGTTTACAGAATCTAGATGTGAATTTTCAGATGTGTATTGGTATCCTATTAGTTATGTAAAGGTAAACCTGCTCCTTGTTTAAATTTTCCTTGCAGTTTTAGGACAAATGAGTATGGATATGTATATACAGTAACCTGATTTGAATATTTATTTTGGAATGTCAAACCTGTCTTGCTGGGTAACACTCAAGAGTAGGCCATGATATCCAAATATTCTTGTATGATCCTTCATGGTTTTTAACGGTATTGTTTTGTTCTTTTTGTATTCCTGTATGCCATTCAGGGTTGTGAAGGAGTAGGCAGCCTGAAATTTAAATTCAAAAGAAATAAATACATTTCCTAGATAACTGGATTTTTTGAAAATTAAAATGTTATAGAAACGAGAAAGCATGCCATTTATTGGAATCTCAGTGAACCTGACCAGCTTTTGCTTTTCAGTCATTCTTTGCATGCCTTCTGCTTACACTTCTGCTTTTCAAAATTGCAATACTGTAGTGGTCCTTGGTCAGATTTATCCCATTAAATACTTCTGACTGGGTTTTATTTTGTTTCAGTGCGAAGTAAATTGAGAGAGATAGTGGGAGCATCCACCAATTGGAGGTATGGTACTGTATACATAAACCATGGTACAACTGCATTTCTTAGAGGTGAAAGAGGGCATTACAATATATTCTTGCAGATTAATAATGGCCGGTAGCTGCTTAATAGAGTAAACCTATGATTTAACTGACTAATGGGGGAAAGAGAGTGTGTGAGACTAGAATGCCAATTAAGTACAAATGAGATTTTATACATGCCTAAACGATCAATTGGATTTTGTCCATTGTATCTGAAGTCTGATAAACTGAGGTTTGGTGCTGGACTTGATCATACATATATTATTTTCTAAATAAATCACACGTCTTTGGGAAAACCCAGCATTGTTGCTATCATCCTTAAAAAACAAAAGGTTCCTGAAATTGCAATTGGCAAAGATTAACTATTATTTCTCAGCAGCCTCTTCTGGTCAGGTTTAACATTCTGATTTTTACCCATATGGCATAATCTGATTTTGCTTTTCCCTTCCTCCAGAGACCACGTGCAAGCGATGAATGAAAGAAAAGCCTTAGATACACTCCTTGCTAAAACCCAAGCTGACCTGCCCCCTAGGAAAATGAAAGACAGCTATATAGAAGTCATCTTGCCTTTAGGAAGCCAGCCCGAAATAAGAGAAAAATATCTCAATATGCAAAACACTGTCAGGTAAAGATAGACTACTTTTATTGTTCCGTAAAATAAAACACTTGCTTGTTGATGCTGTAACATGCATACAGGTTAATTGCTGTATAATATTTTAGGTTTGGTCGAATTCTTGAAGACCTTGACAGCTTAGGAGGTATGTAGTACTTACGTATATAATTTCATTTTTTTCTAGTGATCTGATAGGTTGGAAACATTTGAACAAATTTGGATTATATATTTATAACATCTATATCATTGTTAATTAAACATATTGCATAGGAATAGCTTTAAAACTGGCTGCTCTCTTTTGGAACCACTGAACTGATATTACAATTAGCATTGTTCTTAATGACTATGGCTCCATGGGTAAGATGAAAATTGGTAATGAACTGCCTCAGTGGGATCAGTGAAGGAAGGTAGAAAAATTCGTTCATCTTTTGAATTTTTTTCCACCCATCTATTCTGAAAGCAGTTATTATACTTAATGAATTAAATTGAGTTAATTATTTAGAACTCCTTTAAAAGTGCAGCTAACATTATTGTGACTTCCTGCTTAATGTATTTTTTGTAGCAATGAAAAATGCTTCTGGAATGTGTGTAGCATGTAGCGGATTTTGTGGGAATACTGAACATGATTTATCCTGATATAAGATTTACGGTGGAGGAAGAGAAGCAAGATTGCCTTGCTTTCCTAGACGTGTTAATCCACCAACAGGTGGATGGGACATTACACACAAGGGTTTATCGAAAGCCCACCCACATGGACAGGATCCTCCACTACAGGAGCAATCATCCGGTATCCCACAAAATCAGCTGCATTAAAACATTATTTAAGCGCGTGAATTCCCACTGCAGCACCGTTGAGTCCCAAATGGGAAAAAAAAAAGACATCTCCTCAGGATTTGCCAGCAAAACGGGTATCCTTTGAGGTTTATAAAACGGCACGGCACTGCACCAAAACCCCGTAGTAATCACCAAAGTGAAGAATCCTCAACACGCAAGACACGTATTTCCCTACCCTACATAAGTAATGTCTCGGAGGCAACGGCTAGACTACTGGCCCCCTACAACATAGAAGTGGCCCATAAACCATGTCAAACGTTACGCTCCAGGGTCATGTGCCCCAAGGATCCTCTCCCCACTATGGAAAGATCAGCTGTAGTTTACAAGATTGATTGCAAAAACTGCCAGTGCAACTATGTGGGGGAGACATCCAAGCGTTTAAAAACTCATTTGCACGAGCACAAATTGGCCGTGAAAAGGGGCGACCCACACTCCCAAGTGTGGACTCATATGGCGGAGCGTAACCATCAGTTTGACTTTGAGAACACACGGGTTTTAACTGGAGATGCCACTAAGGGGGGCCGGTTGGTCAAGGAAGCCTGGCTTTCTGATGGCGATTCTGTCAACCGCCACATCGACCTGCATTCGACCCACCTGGCACTAAGGAGATGGGGCAAAAGTCATCGATGGACCCATAACAGTCAACCCCGTTGACGCTTGCAGGATCAGGGTGACGGTGACATAACTGCTCACGAAGAGACATCAATGGAATCCCGACGATTGGTAGACACCCACTTATCCACTACGTGTGATCGACAACGATCTCCCGCCAGCAAACAGCTGAGAGATTTTCTGGATACCACGCGCAAAACAAGGCATATGGAATTGAGAGAGCTACACACATCAGGCCCATGCCGGCCCGCTAGTAAATCCCCCACGCGACGATGGAATGAAGGAGCCAGTAATATCAACGGTGCTGCAGGAACTGATGGTACCAGTAAAAGCCCTGAGATCAACCCCTGGGGGAATCCGGAATTCGGCGCCATGAATGCGGGGGGGGGTGCGGTTTGGGAAGGATTCTGAACGCAGGGCTGCCTGTAAGATCCGGGAGAGAGAGCTCGAACGGAGAAGTAGGAATGGTGAAAGGAATGGAGCTCGCACACGCAGTGAGGGGGTGAAGGGAGCACACGCCTACCCCATCAGTGCACGTGAGACTGGGGAGGATGAGTACATACACCAACACCGTGTGGCCCCATGAACAAGATGTGGAGGGCCGACTGTGCGCAATGCAAACCGCACCCCACAGCATGGGGAGTTGGCAAGGGGGGAGACGAACGAAGGAAGTGTAGGGACAGAGGATATAGGGGAATATATTGAAAAAGAAGAAGAGTGCGGTAACTGTAGCAGTACCACCCAGATCGGAACAACGGCACATAGGGGAGGAGAAGAGATGCCACCTAATACCCCCCCAACCTATATAAGAGAAGTGACGAGTGATAGCAGTAACACAGCTAGGAGGGGAGAGGAGGGAGGAAAAACTACGATGGATATAGTGAAAGTAATGAATATCAAAGAAAGTACAGTCGGGCAGAGGGAAGGGGGAAGAGGCACCACAGCACGGTATCAGATTAGGAGCCCCAATGTAAAACTTAATGAGGTGACACTTAACAACCCTAAAACTAATGGGAAGACAGTGGATACGGGGGGGGGGGAACATCTCTAAGAGAAGGGAGGGAGGGAAGGGAACTTCAGCAGGCAGCAAAGCTGACGTCATTGAAACAAAAAGAGCAACCTTTAAATGTGAGAAAGGAGACCAAAACGCAGGTGTGGTAGGAATAATTAGATCACAGGCTGATTGGTTGGGGCCGGTCACGCGCTCTAGGAGCCGAGTGCAGATGCTAAACAACCTTACTTAAGGCACACCTATAGACTGGCTTGTTAACCCTGATGATGCTGGGAGCTCCCAGCGAAAGCTTGGTTTTAAATTAAAGTTTTAAATTCTTTGTTCTCCTGGTGATCGTGAGTTTTTATCTATTTTATATTATATATATATATATATATATATATCAAAATTTGGATTGCTAACAAAGAATTAAGGGAGAACTGGAATAGCCATTTTGAACTTTTTTTTTTTCCTCCCATATTTGGGCCGACAGGATGCACCAAACTCAATATATATATATGTATATGTATATGTATACACACACATACATTCATACATCAGGGTTGAACTGTCAAGTCCTTGGTGCTTTCTGAACTTGATTGTTCATTTGTAGATGTTTCATTACCCAACTAGGTAACATCTTCAATGCTAGAAGGGAATGGGATTTGCTTTTTGTTTATATATAATAGCCTGACTTATCAAGGTACAGTGTACCCTAATCCCCTAATCGAGGAACAACCAATTCAGACAATGAAGAAGTAAAGAACAGCCTTCTCAAGGAAGTACAAAGGAGAAAACACCCTCACCAACACTGACAGGGCAAGCCATTGTACAATATTACATGTTGTAATAAATAAATAAATTACCCCTACTAGTCTTAATTTGGCAGACTGAACTCTGTTTAAGTCTATAAACTTTGTACATTTAAAAATGTCTAAGTTCTAAGAGTAATTAATATAGCATCTCTCTGTATTTATTTGTTTACAGTTCTTATTTGTTATACTCACACAAAACATGAAGCTACTTTGAAATCTCCTTTATCAATTGTTACAGCGCTCGTGGATAAAATTGGTAGGTTTTAATTATTAATGGGTTAATATCTGTCTGGGAAGTTCACACTGTGTTATTCAGTGAAAAAACAGCTAAGATTTAAACCTGAAATTGGGGGGAAGGTGGAAAAAAGAAGACAAAGCTCTCCTGACACTTTTAGATGAACTTTTTCAGGAATAACTACATGTTCTGATGAATATACATTTGTTGCCAACATGGCATTTTTGAATCTAGCCTCTCCATTTTGCTTGAATGTCCAACTGAATAAATATATGACTTCATAGACAAAATATTATATCACATTATATCCCAGATACTGTATTATAGGAACAGAAAAGACAGCCAGATGTGTTATTATTTTTTTCTGGAAAAATTAAATAATGGTGTTTAACATTTTAAAAAACCAAATTCTTGCAAGATTACCAAGAATGTCAATGTTCTTGCTTAGGTTGCCATGGAAAATAATTGATACTATAATGTTGCATGAAGCTTCCTGTTGTCTGAAAAGGTTGCTGATCCCAAATTGATTTCTTAGAAGTAGTACTGTCCCCCCTTGGATAAATGTTGGTTATCCATCCTTAGAATCTGTGCTCTGACTCCCTTCTTCTATCCTTTTAGGTTTATGGAAGCAGCATATTCATCCGGATTGTGATATCAAGTTTACTGGGAACGTTTCCTGGGTTGGAAAAACTTCAATGGAAGTGAAGATACACATGCTTCAGGTTAATGACAGTGAGCTTCATTTGCTCATAAGAGTTTTGAATTTAGATTCTTACATGTGGCAAGCTATACTGCATCCTGTAATAAAATCCTGTGGCAGGTTAGCCAAATAGTAAGACAGTATTTAAAAGGAATAAGTACAAATTGGAATGTAACATCCATGTTTATTAAAGTGTATTTTGGTCTGCTTGAAGACAATGTGATTTTTGACCAGCACAATTAAATTGACAAGGAGAATCTTACTTATAAACCCTTTTAAATAAATATTGGCAGTATGTATTCTACTTAAATTTCCTTACTTTTTTTTCTTTTTGGCATCCATAGAAAAAAATAGTTCAGTTCTGAAACAGTGTATCAAGTTTTAATTGAATTACCACTGCATACAGATTCTAATCATGTTTTTCCCCTCACATATTTTTTTATTTTAGCTACTTGATGGAATCTATTGCCCTATGTTAGATGCAACTTTTGTCATGGTGGCCCGTGATCCAGAAAATAAAAGGTAATGTTCCTAGCAGTTTATTTAAGAAATCAGTGAGGAATGCAAGTGATGGTCAAAGATGATGAACATGTTGACCTTCAAGTATTGTGGAACTTCAACCACTATCAGCCCCCGGGTGCATGACCAGAGAGAAACTGAGGGTTCTAGTTCGGCAATATCATAGGTTCTCCACTGTGTTCAGTCAGATATAGATGTTTCCATTTTTTTTCTGTAACTTTCCAATTACAGGTAGTCCGCATTTAATAATCCCATTGCAACTATTGCTAACTAAAGGGGTTGTTAAGTGAGATATCATGTGACCACGAGTTGCAATTTCCTGCTGGCTTCCCCATTGACCTTGCTTGTTGGAATCCAATTAGGAAGGTTCCCAATGGGGATTCCTGACTGTGGGATGCTGCAATAATTGTAAATGTGCAACAGCTGCCAAGAGCCCGAATTGCGATCACATGACCATAGAGATGCTACAACAGTTGTAACTGGGAGGACTGGTCATAAGTCATTTTTTTCCACCCATTGTAATTTGAACAGTCACTAAATATGTTGTTTTTAAGCGAGGATTCCCTGTATTGTGAATAGCTGTAAAGTGCAGCTCTGATTTCTGTGTCACCCATCCTCCTCAGATCCTATTTTTGCCTTTCATTCAATGTTATTGGTTTAGTTTGCTAGTTTTGAAATTGGCTTAAAGCTGTAGCAAAAAACCCTATGTTCAAAGGTACAGGATTGCATTTTTGGTGTTAAACATACATATGTCTGAAAATAGTTTATTGCTTATTTTATTATTTTATTTATTTGAGTCCTAGACTCAAAGAATATGCTAGGGGTGCTGACCTATTATATTAGTATTGGTGTCTTATTTGTTTACTTAGTATACTATTTATTTTGCCATAACTAGAGTTCTCTGAGTAGCATCTGGTCACTTAAAATGTATAAAACAAAATAAACCAGTTCAAAAAGAAAAAGGAAAATAGCAGAAGAGAGCTAGATATAAAATAAAAACTAGGAGCATCTATATTAATGGCAATAAAACCTATAAGGCAGCAACAAAATGAATGGCTCAAAATACCAAATTATGTCAGACTATGTGGCTGTATGGTATTTTACATTGAAGGCAAAAAGGAGTTTTAGAGTGCACAGGTAATGAATGTAGCTCCTATTTACAATTCCTTATAGCGGCTGGGCCTTATTTTCAGCCATTGTAGGATCCATAGAGATATTTAACTCCAGACAGGTGTTATATTTTTGTTATGTATTGATGTAAATTATTTGGAATTAGTTATAAATAAGTAACTGCTGTGTCCGTTTAAACTCCAGACTGCCTGCCTGCAGAATTGTAAGTTTGTGTTTTGGGCGGGAATAACTGCTTTAATTCCATTGGCCGCCGCCTATCGGCAGTCTGTATAAATAAAAGTTAAGCGGCTGTTAAAGCCGCTTCTGTGTTAACCAATAAACGTGTTGTTATTTTCACCTTCGCCTCCTCAATGCCTCAAAGATCCCAGTACATAATAGTTTTCATTTCCCTGCATGCTCTGGAGCATGTTTTGGCTTCACATCTGAAGTGCTACACTGTCCTAGTGGACTACATTGACTGTCCTCTTCAGATAATTGTCTTTTCAAGTTAAATCATTTGTGTTGTTGAGTAAAAATAAGAAAAAAAAGTTGTATTAAAACACAAAAATAGACACACAGATTTCTCATTGCAAATGAACTTGTACATAAGTAACTATGTTGGTTTGTAGCCCAAAACATTTCATTTTCCCTCTGTAATGCATATTGTTTTTTAAAAATATATCCTCAGACCAGCATTTGTCAATCCATTAATTGCTGAAACCCCAGAGGAGGAAAAAATCTTCAGGGAAGGAGAAAGTAAGTACTCTCCTAGTCTGGTTTTTTTTTGGGGGGGGGGAGGGGAACAATGGAGAAATATTGTTTCGTGGCCATTCCTAAATAATTGGGGGAAACATAGGTTCTTTGGGAGTGAAATAATTTGGTACCTACAGTAGTCTAAAGCATGCTTACAGATTTCAGAAAAGTATATTCATCAGTTTTGAAAAAGGGATGAAATACAGCTGTTGGAAGCGATTGTCATTCATTTTACATGTTTCATTCCATTGATCAGAGAACAAGATCAGGCGGCTTGAATCTAGTAAGGCTTCTTTATTGAAGGTTGCTCCTACTGAAGATGAAAGAAATATTATCCACAATATATTCCTGAATACTCTGGATTCAAGGTAGGCAGTTCAGTTATAAACATTGATCACCATTTTTCAAACTTGATGCATTCCATGTATATTAGGGTTACAATTTGGAGCAGAGGTCACCAACCTTTCTTGGTTGGCGGACCAGAAGAAAAGGGAGGGGGAATCATTTTATGCACGCGCGTGCGTGCGTGCACGGGGCTGCGAGCATGCGTGTGATGCAAATGGGGTGGGCTAGCGCTTGAATGTTACTCACTAGCCCTGCCCCATTCTTGTGCATAGTGCCCTGTTTCTGCGCCCCGAAGTGCGGCATTGGCCCCTTTTCGTGCACCAAGGCATGGCGGCATACCATTTTTGCATCCTGAGGTGTGGCATTGACCTGTTTTTGTGCAGCACAGCAGTGCAACTTCCTGTTTTTGTGCCCCGCAGCACAGCAGCGGCTTGTTTTTGCATCCCGTAGTGCGGTGGTGGCCTGTTTTTGCTTCCTGAGGCGTTGTGGTATCCCGTTTTCACACCCTGAGGTGTGGCAGTGGCCCGTTTTTGCACCACGTGGCACGGCCTCCTGTTTTTGCATCCTGCGGCTTGCAGCACTAGCATGAGTGGGGGTGGTGTGCACACATGTGTGCGCACTGGCCAGCCTGTCCTGGGGCCTGGTGGCCAGCAGCCCATGGCCCACTACTGGGCTGCAGCTCACAGGTTGCGGACCCCTGATTTGGGGGACTCCCAGAGAGCATGGTGCAGTAGTTAAGCTGCTGGACTGTGACTAGGTAGAGTCAGGTTTAAATTTATTCTCAGTAATAAGTGCACAGTGGATAACTGTGAGCCAGTCTATCAGACTAACCTACTTCACAAGAAGAGAAAAATTGGAGGAGGGACAGTTTGAAAACAAAAATATGTTTATAGCATAGTATTGGGAAAGAATAACAAGATGTTCTTGGATTCTCCAACATCTATATCAAATATGGAGTCTCTAGATATTGTCCTGCAGTGCCATCAATCCTTATCGTTGACCATCCTGCTTAGGTCTCAGAGAAGACAAGGTAAGATATGTAGGGGAACTTAAGGTCCTATTCCCACGCTCAGCATGTGGACGAAGTGGTATCCATATAGTTTTAGGTAAAGATTGAAATTCACAATATTGGAATATTGCGGACAAGCACTTTTTATAATTGTTCTTGACAATTTTACATGTCCTTCTCCATTTTTTAGGACAGTAAGTTTTCGTAGTCGGATATTGCCACCCAATTCAGTATGGATGCAAGACACAAAATTAAAGGGTTTGGAGATCTGCCATCCACAGGTATTTACTGAGCTATAGCTGATGTAGACTCTTATGCTTGACTCTTGCTTCAGATTGGTACACGATATGATACTTTCTATAATAGCTATTTGGCAATTTGGTTTCTTGATAAATATTCATAGCCATAAAGTCATGAAACATCTTCAGAAATTTAATTTCTCTGTACCCTTAATATTTAAAGAAGAATTTGCAGCTATATTACTCAAGAAATACACACCATATATATAACTGCCATTGCATGTTTGTGCTTGTAGCTCTGACTGGTAGCAATTTGGAGGGAATTTTCTTTAATTTCAATTAACTGCAACAAAGACAATTTTTTTTGCAGTTTTATTAATCTATGGCCCTGAGGCATTCTCTTTTAGAATATAACAAAAGTTTGCAGGAAAGCGGACAAGCACTTTTTATAAAACATAATTACGTACATTATATGCATCACTTCCTATATACTGCAACTTATTTGGAGCAAGCAACATTTTTAAGCAATGGTTTTTGTGTCTTTGTGTGCGTGTCTTTAGCTCAGGATTGATTCCTGGTGACTGCATGGACAAGACACTGCAGTTTTCTTGGCAAAGCTTCTTGGAAATAGTTTGCCATTTCCAGGGCTGGGAGTGACTGGCCTAAGGTCACCCAGCTGGTTTCACGCCTAAGACAGGACTAGAATTCACAGTCACCCAGTTTTTAACTGGATGCTTTAACCACTATACCAAACTGGCTCTTAAGCAATAACTTGCTTATTAGCAAAAAAAAAAAAAAAAAGCACTTAAATCAGGCATAGTTACTGGGATTCATGCAAAGATAGCTCTATGGATCTTATCAGTGATTCTGCTTATCTCTTCCAGAACATAATTATGTACTTCATATGTTTCCACATTGGTTTTAGCAGAACTTTTTGGAAATTTGACTAAATAGCTTCTAGCTTGTTCTGTCTATACGCTCTGCTGATTTTGGGATTCTGCACAGAGTAATGACAAATATGTAATTCTTTTATAGCAAAAGTAGCATTTCAGTTGATAGATGGAATATCTCATCTTGTTTTATAATATACAACTGGTGACTAGGTTATTGTGGTTCTGTGTTTTCAGAGAGTCCATGATTCTGCACTTTGAACTTTTTCTTATGGAATATTCTAATAATACAAATTGCTCTTAATTTTAAAGAGATGAGGATGTATGCATGAAGGTGTATACTAAGTCAGGATTTTTCAGTCTGTGTCTTGGGATTTCTCTCTCTCTCTCTCTCTCTCTCTCTCTCTCTCTCTCTCTGTGTGTGTGTGTGTTTGTGTGTGTGTGTGTGTGTGTGTTGGTCGTAATAGCTGTGGGGGAGGGTGTCACTGTTGTTTTTTTAATTTAATTTAATTTAATTTAATAATTTAATTTATATACCGCCCTTCTCCCGTAGGACTCAGGGCGGTGCACAGCATATTAAAACAGACAAACAAAATACATCAAAGAACAAAAAACCCCCATAAAACCAAATTAAAAGCCAAATATTCGAAGCTGTGTGTCAATTAAAATTTTCTTAAAATCATCCCTACCTANAGGCGGTCTCGGAGGTAGCCAGGTCCAATGCCATGGAGTGCTTTAAAGGTGGTAACTAACACCTTAAAGCGCACCCGGAAGACCACTGGTAACCAGTGCAGCTCGCGCAGCAGCGGTGTCACATGGGAGCGACGAGTCCCTCCCAACACCGCCCGCGCAGCCGCATTCTGGACCAGTTGAAGTCTCCGGGTGCTCCTCAGAGGGAGCCCCATGTAGAGAGCATTACAGTAGTCTAGGCGAGAGGTGACGAGAGCGTGAGTGACCATGCGCAAGGCGTCCCGGTCCAGAAAAGGTCGCAACTGGTGGATCAGGCGGACCTGATAAAACGCCCCCCTGGTCACGGCCGACAAATGGTCTTCCAATGTCAGCCGTGGATCCAGGAGGACTCCCAAGTTGCGAGCCCTCTCTGAGGGGGCCAAAATTTTGCCCCCTATAGTCAGCGATGGAGTCAGCTGACTATGCCGAGGCGCCGGCAGCCACAGCCACTCGGTCTTGGAGGGGTTGAGCCTGAGTCTGTTCCTCCCCATCCAGACCCGTACGGCCTCCAGGCAACGGGCCATCACGTCAAGGGCATCGTTGGGGTGACTTACAAACTATTTACTTGGAGGGTGCTTTTATTATAGTGGTGATTTTAATCATGTTGATTTGAAAGCTACTCTCTCCCATTTCCATCAATATGTGAACTTTGCAACCAGAAGGGGGAATACACTGGGTCTTGCTTATTCTAAGATCAAGAATGCATTCAAAGCTATCCCTTGGCCTCACATAGTCTCTTATGACCATCTCTCAGTGTTGCTTATCCCAGCATATAAGACTTTATTACTCAGAGAGAAATGAAGAGTGAAGCAGGTGAGGGTTTGGGTGGAGGGAGCCCTAGTAGCATTACAAGATTGCTTTGAGTGCATGGATTGGACATGTTTAAAGAAGCAGTAACAGATAAACAACATATAAATGTGGAGGAGTATGCCACCACTGTGCCTGCATATATTCAAGAGTGCACTGAGGATGTCTGTGTCCTTAAAAACATTGTTGTGAGGGTTAATGAAAAACCATGGATGACATATAAGGTTTGCAAGATGTTGAAAGCACAGCTTTTAAATCCAGCGATATGCTGGCAGTCAGAACAGCCAGAGCCAATTTGAAAAGCATCATAAAAAGAGCAAAGCAAGTCCATTCAGAAAGTTCAGAACTTTTTTCAGGACCCAATGAACACCAGGTGCATGTGGTAAGGCATCTAGGCCATTACAGACTATAAGGTGGCTCCATTGTGTGGTAAGAGTGACACAGACTTTTTAAATGAGCTGAACACAATTTTTG